ATCAAAAATTTCAAGTTGCAACCGCACGGCTCAACGAGCGCCACCTAGCGGCCGCCGGGACAAAGCACCAGCCAAAAAAAAACTATAGCAGTCAGTCGATGTGCTGGACTCAAGACACTAAGCATGCTGTTTCTCCAAGATGTTGTTCCCCGAGATTTACTTTGTAACTTAAATGTGTAATTATAAAGCCTTTAATTGTAATGTTTTATCTTAATTGTGTTTTGCTAATTAAAACTATTTTTATAGGCCAAGTGAGTCTTTTGTTTATATTAGTTTTGGTTATAGCTGGCTGCCCAACGCGCAGCTCGAATGATTTATCTAGTTGAGAAAAAACCATGTTCAAGATTCCATGGCATCGACTCATATTCTTTTCCAGGTTTTAGGTATACTGCATCCAACAGTGAAGATTATTTGGAAACTGCATGACAAAGTATGGTTTTTATCTTCACCAGAAGATTATTTTGGTTGTTTCTTTTTATCTAGGTTGCACTTTAAGAATTTATATTGTGTTACATTGTTTAAATAATTGATTTTTATTTGAATTTCCTGTTTTAATTCTATGTTCTAAATGAAGATTAATTTTGTTTTCATTGCAAGTCAACACAAGTAAAATTTTGTTTCAGTTCTGAACGAAAAGTGTTTACGTTAACAAAATGTTATTTTTATTCTGATTGATAAATGTTTCTAGTGTGGATAATTCTTTTAGTATTTTTATGACTGTATTGCTATCAATAAATTAGTTGTATGTTTTGTTTTATTTAATGAATAATATTAATGGGTATTTTCTTATCCTCTTTCAGAACAGAAATGATTTAAAAGTGAAAAGGGTTTTATCTAGTATATTATTTAAACTGTGCCACTAATGTTTTGTTTTTATGCAATAAGAATACTTCTTTTGAATTAATGTTATATTTAGCGTTATTCTGAAAGGGATTTCTAAAGCTTACTACATTTTCAAATTGTGAGTTTATAAAAATTTTTAAATTATTATTTTGTAATATTTGAGAACAACTTATATATCTAATTGTGTTTTTCAAAGAGAACTATAGTCGAAAATTAATTTCTTAGAGCATTTAGGATTTTGTAGACATCACAGCTGTAACTAATAGAAGATTTATCAAAGTTAAATTCTATATTTGGGATTTTTATGTTTACTAAATTTTATGCATTTTTTTGTCTATTAGCAAATGTAATAATCCTTGTTAAATGTTAGTTTCGTTTTCGAAGTAATCTCAGATTAATGATTTTGTTCAATGATGTTTTTTTAAATTTTATGTAATTAATTGTTAGGGGTAATTAAGAAATTCATAAAATTCCTGATCATATAACTTATCTTCAAACAATATTGAACTTTTCAATGGACATTGAAAGTACGATAATATGTCATTTTTGGGACTAGCCAGGAAAAAGGAGCTGCAAGTCTTAGCCACAAAACTGGGTCTGCCCATCTCAGATAATTTGAAAGTGATTTAACTCAAAGAATTAATTACGAACTCAGACAAATATGAAGAGGGATTCGTAAAGAATCTATTGACCAGCATAACTGTTGAAAGAAAAATGGCTGAACAAGCAGCTGAAAATGAGAGATTAGCATTAGCTGAAAAGGAAAATCTTTTGTGTGAAGAACAAGCAGCCAAAAACATTTGTGAAGAAAAAGTTGCTGAAGATCAACAAATTGAGAAGGAGCATCTGTTTGAGTTGGAAAAATTAAAACTTCAGCTAGAGTTGCAGAAAATTTCTCAAAAGGAAGTGATAGATCAAAGAAAAGACCAACTCAAAATTGATATTACTAAAGTTGTCCCTAAATTTAACCCTAAAGAAGACGAAATCGGATTGTATTTGACAATTTTTGAACGTCAATTGAAACTTTTAAGTATTTCAGAATCAAAATGGTTATCTGATCAGTTCATTGCCAATAGAAATAGCACAACTTATTGCTAGAGAAGATGAGAAAGAATCTCAAAATTACCCCCAAAATTAAGGAAATGCTTCTTAAGCGATACATGTTAACTGCTGACCATTTCAAACAGTTTCTTTTTTTTTTTCAACATAATAAAATCCCAGATACAACAGATGAAATAAGTTCATATTTTGAAGGATGGAGAACAGAAATTAACATCAAAGATTTTGAACAGCTTAAAAACCTAATTATTAGCAATCAAATTAAGAAGAAAGTATCTTCCGATCTGAGAGAACATTTCATGGATAAGTGGGGAAAATGGAACCAACCATTGGAATTAGCAGAGAAGTTGGACGCGTATGAAAATATTCGTCATGGATTAAAGAAAGCTTCAGCACCATCTAACAAACCAAATTTTAAAAGTGGGTTCCTGACATCAGATAGAAAATCGAAGTACACTGCGATAGCTAGAATGAGAAAAGAGCAGGAAATATAGTTTCCAAGAACACTAACGCTTCACTAGAGAAAAGTACCATCCGATGTTAAGGGTGTGGAACTCCTGGATACATACAATCTAAATGTTCTACCTGCTCAAGATCTAAAGGAAAAGCAAAAACATCTTTAAATAGTGTCAATTTGTTTACGTTCTAATCAGTTACAGCTCCATCCAGTTTAATTATCCTTAAAATTTTTGGAGTGAAAGCTGCTGTATGTGCTGATACCGGTGAATCACACTCTATTGCTGGAGAAAAGTTATACTATATGCTGCAAAGGAACAAAGTAAGGTTTAAACCCAAATGCATTTCTTTGACGCTCCTTGATGAAACACAGAGCTGCCTTGACCATGGTCGTGGATCTTATTGTTGAAGGTAAAGTGGTATCTACAGAACTAATTGTTTTGCCTGAAACAAAAGGAAACAAAACACTACTAGGCACAAACTTTCTCCAATCTGCTGGGATTGTCTTAGATATCCTCAATGGTACTTGGCATTTCATGAAAATCCTCATGTCCAATACCCTTTTTACATGGTGATTTCCAAGGCTGAAAATTTTACATCCATTTCTGACTCTCAGACAAGAACTGTAGAAATTATTAATTCAGTTAAAGTTTTCGAAACATCCTCTTCAGTAAATCTTCAAAGCGACGAAGGCAAACATCTAAGTACAGAACAAAGTATTAAACTAAATCTTTTACTGCAAGAATTCAAGAGTTGCTTCGAACCAGAGGGAGGCCCAACCTCATATAGCGAACATTGTATTAATACTGGAAATAGTCCATCAGTTGCAGAACCTCCTTACAGAACGAGTCCTGCAAAAAGAGAGTTGCTGAAAAAATAATTAGATTCTCTCCTGGCTAATGGTATAATCAAAGAATGTGAATCTCCATATGCCAGTCCTGTTGTTTTGGTTCCTAAACCGAATGGTAGCATAAGACTTTGCATCGATTATCACAAACTAAATGCCACTACTACTGCAGGCATGTACCCTTTACCACGCATGGACGATCTTCTCACAGAAGCAAAGTCAATAGCCTATATGTCAACCATCGATTTTAAATCAGGGTATCATCAAATCAAAATACATGAAGCTGATCAAGATAAAACAGCTTTCATTTGCCTATTCAGGACACATAAATATTTGCTCATGCCATTCGGATTACGAAATGCACCCGCAGCTTTTCAACGCCTGACTGACAAATTTAAAGCAGGCCTAAAGGATGTGTTTGCTTTGCCTTATTTAGATGATGTCATTATTTTATCAGGGACTTTTAAATCAGAAGCCAGCCGGTCTTCTTAGAGCTCCAATTTACGCCCAAAGGTTCGAAACTCTAGGTGTTGATTTTTTTTTTTTTTTTTTTTTTTTACCTCTTCCAGAGACCTCATCTGGTAAGAAATGGATTCTTATCATAGAAGATATGAGTACAAAATGGTTAGAACTATTTGCCTTTAAAGAAACAACAGCTGTCAACTGAACCAAAACATTAGTCGAAGAAGATGTTCTACGATACGGATTTCCACAAAGATTGATAAGTGATAACGGGCCACAATTCATAAGTGCTGTTATGCAACAAATTTGCAAGTTTCTCGAAATTAAGCTAGACCTTATTCCTGTGTATCACCCCCATGCAAACCCATCAGAATGTAAGAATAGGGATCTAAAACCTCAACTTGCCATACTGGTCGGAGGTTAACACAATTCCTGGGAAAAAAAAACTGACACTGATTCGTTTTTCCATGAACACTACCAAGTGTGAAACTACTAATCACACAGCAGCTTTCTTGCAGTTTGGAAGGGAATTAAGAACAACAGATGATGTTACCAATGGCCTAAGAACATTAATTGATAATGATAACTTAGTGGCTGAGATAACCCCTATCTCAAACAATTTGCCCGTTTAACTGCAAAGATTGAAGACCACGTCGAACAGAAGCAAGACAAGAAAAAAATATATTATGGTCGTAAACGTCAAAAGGTTTCTTACGAACCAGGTGATAAAGTATGGGTGATGTTACATCCTGTTTGCAGATCACATAATAGAAAATGCCAAAAATTCATGCCTAGATGTGAAGGACCTTATTTAGTGGCAACCAATCGTTCACCCACTACGTATGATATTGCTGATCCAACTAAGCCAGATGAAGTCCTTGGGACTTACCACAGCTCAGCCTTACACACTTATGAACTGCCTGTTTCAAGACATCGTGAAGTTATAGCACCTCTTCTGAGACGAGGGACATCAAAGAAACATATTCCTGGCTCTTCGCCAAAACACCGTACGAGCCAGAAGGGGAGTCTGTAACCCCATGGCTCAACGAGCGCCATCTAGAGGCCGTTGGGACAAAACAATGGCCAAAAAAAGACTATAGCAGTCAGTCGATGCGCTGGACTCAAAACACTAAGCATGCTGTTTCCCCGAGATTTACTTTGTAACTTACATGTGTAATTATAATGCCCTTAATTGTAATGTTTTATCTTAATTGTGTTTTGTTAATTAAAACTATTTAAACAGGCCAAGTGAGTCTTTGTTTATATTAGTTTTGGTTTGCTTCCTCTATAGGGGAAGCAAAACTAAATTCATTAGCAAAGCAACTATAATTACCTGTATATGATGCAAGATCTCCATGACTGTGCTTTATGTGACCATGTGGACCTGTTGTAGGATGGCCACGGGTTAGAGTTGATTGTGCTGATCCCCATGGCATAGGATGGAAATAAGGTGAAGGATGGGGACTCATTAAATTTGACCAAGATGATGATAAACACTGAGCACAATTCAAATGAGCCATTGAATGTGAATATGGGGGATGTATTGGTGGATGCATATAAGGATAATTATGGGGGAAATTATAAGGATGAGGACCAACTTGATTTGAAGCAGCCCCAGGAAGATCAGCAACACTGTGGCTTTGAGGTTTGCCAGGAAATCCAAATGATCTATGAAAATCAAATGCATGAATTGTGAAAGTAAAAATTTAAAAATTACAAAATATTAAAAAAGTCAGATTTTAAAAAATGTGAATAAATTTCATATACAATTTAAGTAAATTAAATGATAAAATAAAAATACCTTTTCTAAATATGTGAATGGGAAAAGAATAAGAATATTTTATACATTAAATGTGAACAACGATTGCTTTAATAGTAGACAAAACATTCTACTCATAATTAGGTTTTCAGATGTATTAAACTTTAATAATTTTAAATGGATTTATTATGGTTATATTGGTTTGCAAGCATAAAGTGGGTTTACTAAATTTCCCCCATATAGACAAAGCTAGCTTAAAAAGATACTAATGTTAATATTTTAAGGAATATAAATTATGAAAAAGCAACCAATGAGTTGCATAAATTACAAAAGAACAGCAAATGAGCTAAAGAAAAATAATGCTGAATAAGTTACATTAAAAACATCGTGCATTTTTTTTTTCTTTTAAGATTAATGAAATAAACTACACATTCTGGCACAAAAAAAAAAAAATATATATGCACCCAGAAGGAAACGAACTACTGTCATGAAGCTTAACATGTATGTACTATATGAGGAGATAAACAAATTCAGAACAAAAGATCACTTTATTAAGAAACTTCAGAACAATATTGTTTTAATTAAGAAGTTTTAGCATGAAAAAGGTTACAAATCAGCAGTATAACCACCTTTGCAGCTATACAAGCCAAATCACTAGGAGGCTACGAATCAAGTAAGTCACCTATGACCCTCCGCAGAAGATCATGCCGTAATCTTAGCAATTGGGCAGTTTCACCAATATTATGGGGCTGTTGCAGTTGCCCTCCAAGCATGCCCCAAACATGCTCTATTTGCGAGAGGTTTAGTTCCTGGCAGCCACGGGAGTATATCATATCCTTAAAACATTATTGGGAAAGTCAGGCAGTATGTAGACAAGCGTTGCTTTGTTGAAGAATGATATCTGGGCGACATGAGCATACCAGCTTCAGTCAGTCATCTCTGAATTGTTGTCCTTGATACCACCAGACACCTGGAAGGTGGTAAATGACATCAAGTCAATGCCAATGACATTGTGGGTGTGGAAGTAGCCACTCTTATGATTCCACGATCCTCAAACTCATGCATGTTCCGAGGCACCTTGACCTTCCGCGAAGTTAGACTATCCCTTCCATGATCCATTGTCACCAACATAGAGCAACCACCATATCGCATCGACCGAAGTGGTGGCCAATATGCCTGACCTACCAAACTGCTTCTCTGAGGCCTAATATACGGCCCTCCACAAAGTTCAACTGTACATACCTGAGCCGGTTACATCTCAGAGGCATTGCTAATCACAATATCATCCGTCTAAGTCAACAGATTCATTTGAATAGCCCTATGGAATGAGCAGTCATGTTTTCAAACTCGTCCAACTGCTCATCTCATATGTGTATTAGTGCGCTCACCCTTGTCTCATTGGTGTCAAAATTTAAAGACTTGTCAGACTACATTCCTGCCAAGTTTCATAATTGTGGCTTAATTTCTTCTGGGTGCTTTTTTTTTTTTTTTTTTTTTTTTTTTTTTGGTGTGTGTGTGTGTGTATGCATGTGTGATTTTGCTAATATTCAAAATATATGCATATTTGCAGAAAATTTTGCTAATACAGTCAAAAGTCATTAATTCGGACACCCATAATCCGGAATGATCTATAATCCGGACCTCAAAGCTAAAATCTTTCTGCGCATAGGCGTTTTACGCGTGCGTGCAAGACATTGACGACTGCGCCTATGTGTCTGTGCAAGCGCAGAATACGTTTTCGCATGCGCGGTTAATGCAAAACGGACGGTATAAGCTAAAATTATCTAATTCAGTTAATGTTGATGATTGCGTTGTTCCTTAATCTTCGAATTGGATCCGGCTTATTATTTTTTGCAGACTGTAAGAGCAATTTTATAAAAGTAAGCTTGAACTTTCGATTATGTCAAACAGAATTTCCAATGCTGGAGCTCCCAAAGGATCTAGAAAACGAAAACATGCTTCGATGTCCATCAAACAAAAAACGAATTGCTATAAAAAATGGATAAAGGCATATCCTTTGTTTATCTAACGGTTCCGAAATCTGTTTATCAATTTCACGCAGCTCTGCGCGAGGGGGGGGGGACGTCGCGGCGCACAATGAACTGTAAGTTGATCTGTCAGCACTATCGTTAATCTTTAGGGCAGATGTTTTTATTTTATTCGGCTTATAATTCCTTACTAAATGTAGTATTTAATCTCGATGTACTCCGTCTTTGATATGATTTAAATCAAATTAAATCAAATAGTTTTCTGGTTGCAATTTTCTAATTTCGGCTATGCGTAAGGTATGCTTTACGCATGCGCGCGTTGAAAGAAATGTTTAATAAAATAAACAAATATTAAGCTTCTTTTTTTGTAAATTTTGATACCCTTTAGATCATAATTGCTCATTATTTTATAAATTACGGTTTCATATTTTTAATTTTAGAATTTCTGCATGCCATCTTACCAGATTTAAACTGATGATCTATAATCCGGAAAATCGATAATTCGGAATCGCCAAAGTCCCGACGAGTCCGGATTAAAGACTTTTGACTGTATTCTTAATAATTTTGCAAGTCATTATTTCCAGTAAGGGGAGTAGTTTAATGACATCATGACATAGAACTTTTTCCTGTTCTGCTTCACACAGCAGCAAATATACGTACTTTTTTTTAATTTAAAAAATTAACCAGTAATAAGTTTTTTAGATCAGTTAATATCATTTTATCATTCTTGTTTTAAAAGATTGTGAAGTAACTGCTTTATAATCTGTGGAAATTTCAAAAATTTTTAGCTGATACTCGTTTAGATGCTAAAATTTTAAAATGAAGGATATTAAGTAGTCAGAAAACCAAACATTTTAAAATTTGCCAAAAAATTAGAAATCACATTAAAAATGTCATACAAGTTCCATTAAAAAGATTTTTTTTCCACTAAGCATACTACACATAGTGCAAACAGTAGAATTCTGAGGTTTTTAGTTTTTTCATTAAACTAAGTTACACGCAAAAAATTCTTTCAACACTAAATTTTTAAAATCATAATTCAAATTTTGAAAATAACTGCTACACCACAATTTACTGTTATCTATAAAAAGTATGCATGCCCAATTTGAGCTCAAAAGCTTCAGAAAGTAGTTTAAAAATAAAATGAAAACTTTTGACCACAGTGATGAACACCATCAATGAACTAAGTAAAATCTTATAACAACTTATTCAACTCACTGTCCATTTGTCATCATATCTGGTGAACTTGATGGAATTGAAACTTGTATAGGAGAAGAAATATTTGGGCGTGAAACATTCCATGGGCTTCTTTCCATGTCTGATGAGTTATCAATAATTTTATCTTGATTATTCTGCATTAGACAGAAATATATAAAGTTATATAAATAATTAACAAATATAACTGTATTAATGGTAACTTAAATTCATATATTAAGAGTTTTAAAGTACTAACTGTACATTTTGAAAATGTCCAGGCTTTAATAATCATTCTTGTAGTAGTAGTAAGCTACTATACCTTATAGTAAGCTACTATATTCTTATAATAGGTATAGTAGTAAGCTACTATACCTACTATAAGAATGTAGTTTATTAGCCTATATTTAAGTATCCATTTCTTTATCCAACAATATTTTTCTATAACACCATAAGCGAAATCATGGCATATTCATTTTTTTGTCTACTTTAAATACTATAACAAAAATCTTCTTGAAAAATAATCTCGCAGCAGCAAATATTCTAATTTAAAAAAAAAAAAAAAAAAAAAAAAAAAAACAAAAAAAAAAAAAAAAAAAAAAAAAAAAAAAAAAAAAAAAAAAAAAAAAAAAAAAAAAAACAAAAAAAAAAAACAAAAAAAAAAAAAAAAAAAAAAAAAAAAAAACAATGAAAAAAGAAAAAAAATATTGTAATTTTTTTCATAATCTGGAATAATCTTTCATTAGAACCACAGATGTGAAGTATGATTTGACAACAACTTGTAAATGATGTGATACAAAGAAAAAATTCTTGAAAATTGTAATGAGAAGAAAATAAATTTTAGATTTTCAAAATTAAAGTTTTTCAAATAATTCTATTCATATTCTCAAAATAATTAAGGACACATTCACTCTGTCTTTTTATAAACAAAAATACAAGTACCAGATGGAAGAAAAGAAAAAAGCTTACTTGGTAAGCTAGATTTTTTTAAGAAAAAGAACAAGGTACTGTTCTGTTATCAGGACCAGATTCAGAAATGTATGTATGCATGTATGTGTTCGTCTATGCATATATATGCACTTACGAATGTATGCATGTGTGTACATATACACACATACACACGTGCATACATACATTTCTGAATCTGGTTGCAGAAACAGAACAATACCAATAACAAAATACAGGATAAAAAAATAAAAAGGAATAAATGAATGAATGTATAAATAGAATAGGAATAAGAAGTGAACTTAAATCTCCCACATTTTATTAAAATTAGTACGTAAACACTTAAAATTTCTGATTCTGAACCAAATTTGTTTTCAACAACTGATATGTATTTTTATGAAATGTTTTAGATCGCTGCCATAAAAAAGAAGCTAAAGATTAAACTAAATTCATCAACAAAATCAAACAAAAAGTTCCTTTTTTTAGCTTCATATGCTAAAAATAAAAATAATCTCATCTCACACGAAACAGCTGTAGTTTGATAATAATCAGAAGAGTTAAACATACTGGTGAGAAAAATTAAACAACTACACTGCTGTCCATTAAAATTACAACACCAAGAAGGAATGATCTAATGAACATCAAAATCGCATGACAGGAAGAAGTTGAGATATGCAAAGGATTAGTATTTCAGCGCATTGAGACGATACAGGAGGGAGAAACAACATCTGAAGCACTGCATAGAAGTAAAGTTACGCAATGGATTTTTCCTTCGGAAAATGCTTTCTTTATAAGGTTGGAGTTTGCTCAGAATATTGTGTTATGCCTCAAATAAGAAGAGGAAATGCTTACCAGCGAGTTTCGGAATTTGATAGAGGCAGGATCATTGCCTATCTAGAGTGTAGGTTATTGTTCCGTGACATTGGCTGTCGCATTGGTTGACATCCAACCACAGTAATGCAAATATGGAATCAATGGATTGCTGAGGGTGTATACTGAACAGCATGCAGGATCTCAATGCCCTCCCATGACTAACACCCAAGAGGACAGACATATTGTAAGATCGGCCTGCAAAACTGTACAACCACATCACTGACCCTTAGTAAGAAAATGGGCATATTGCAGCACACCCAGTATCAGCTCATAAGGTGCATCGATGTTTGCAGCAGCGTGGATTATCAGCACGGTGACAATTACTTCGACTTCCCTTGACAATGCAGCATAGAGAGAGACAGATCTCTATGGTGCACTAGATGACAAAACTGGATACAGAAGTAGCACAATGTCGCCTTTTCAGACAAGTCACGGTTCTATGTGCAGTATTCCGATGGTCGTATACGTGTCTGAAGTGTCCAAGGAGAGCGCACATCACTTGCTTGCATTCAATATCGGCATAGGGGCCCTGCATTTGGTGTGATGGTTTGGTCAGCCATTGGATACACAACATGGGCATCTCTAGTTCGGATCTACGATAATTTGAATGCAGATGGGTATATTTCTGACATCTTATTGTTCAGTGGTTGTGTCTTACCTTCGAGACCCCCAAACACCATGTTCCAACAAGATTAATATAAGACCATATGTTGAGTGTCATGTTCTGACCTTCCTTGATACACAGGGTATTCGACTGCTGCCCTATTCTGCATGGTCTCTAGATCTGTCGCCCGCTGAAAACATCTAGTCGTGGGTTGCTGCTAGACTGGCCCGCGACCCCTCTCCAACTAATAAGGTTGATGAAGTGTGGCATAGACTTGAAGCAGCATGGAATGAGTTACCCATTTCTGTCATCCAAGCGCCATTTTGACTCCATGCCTAATGGGGTAAGGGCCGTTTTAGCTGCCAGAGGTGGCAGCTGTTTCTACTAATTTCACACCCCTGTAAACCTCCAAAATGCTTACAAATTTAATCATTTAGTCTTCATGCCATACTGTTTAAGTGCAATAAATATCTTTTTTGTATTTGCTTTCCTTAACGGTGCTGCAATTTTAATGGCCAGCAGTGTATGTAAAGATGCTTTACATTAAATCCGTTAAGTGAAGTCCAGTGAAAGACAACTAATTGGTAACTAAAAGTTAATGTTACATAACTCAATAGGCTTCATCTTCCTTTAACAGAAATATGCATATTTTTACACCCATTCTTTTTTCACATGGAGAAAGGAATCCAAATGTAAAATGTTCCTGGTTGCAATGATTCAGGAATCATCGTGATAAACGTACCATGGATTGGAAGCGAGTTTTCTTTACTGACGAGTTTTATTTTTGCTTGGGAAGTGATTCCAAATGTGTTACAATCTGGAGGAAGCAAAACACACAATAAAAGAAAAAAATTATGAAAAGCCTCAAAAGCTATGGAAGGCATCTGTATAAAAGTGGTGAAATTATGATATAAGCAGTCATTTTGAATGGCTACACTGGCTTCCACATTTTTAACAATACAAATGATGAGTATTGAAATATACATATCCGAGGTTCTCAATTCTTATGTCAAGTTGTTTAGGCATGTGATCAATAATAGCTTCCTCTTGATGGAAAATAATGCTTGTTCCAATCATGCTGCACAAGTGGCTAATTATCTTGAGGTTGAAGAAATCCAATTAATAGAATAGCCTGCATATTTTCCAGATTTAAATCTAATAGGATAAGTGTGGGATGCATAAGGACATTGACTTTCAACACTGCAGCCCCAACTAGCACTCTCTAGAAACTTGTAAGCCAATATTCGTCATGAATACACTGTTATCACAAGAACTCTTGGATAATCTAATAGACCACATGGAGAATCGCTGTAAAGTTTGCACTTCAGACAGGGGTTACACATATCTTACTAAATTTTTTCAATATATTTCTTAAAAGTAGTAATAGAACTTTTCCCATAATATAGGAACTTTTTCATAACATATGAAATGTTATATAAAGTAGATTCACTTTACATATCATATTTCCTATACTTTTATTTAAAATTATTCCTATACTTTTATTTAAAATTATTCTGGGTAGAAGAAAGCAATTCTGTATTTTAATGAAATGTTTAGTTAGTTCCATGCTCTTAGCTACAAAATTAGTCATGTTACATGATTTTTTTTATAACCGTTACTTTGTTTTTCCAAGTGTATTTTTGTAAATAGGTACAAGATATGAAAATAAGGGCAGTTCACTTTTGCAAATACATTTCTTTCCTTTTCTTTCATTTGCATTTTTTCCCTGGTGGAGTTATATTTACATGAATATTACGTGACAAAAGTAATGCTTGCAATGAAAATAATAGCAAACTAACCTAATTCAGATAAAAACAAATAAACAAATTTCTACACCTTTCTGAAAAACAAAAATTAATAACAAACAGCATTATAAAATAAAACACTTTTAAAACTAGTATCAGTTATTTACCTAATACTTTATCAATCACAACCTAATTTCTTGATTCTCATTTTAACTTGATTTAAAGAATTTACAAAGTAATGATGCAAAATTATTTATCAGTAATTTAGAAATAGATACAAAAAAACATAGTACAGTAAGACCCCGCTTAACGCGGGGAATATGTTCCATCAAAGTAGAGCGTAATGCGAAACAGCGCTAAACGAGGCTATCTTTACATGTAAATATTGGGGTTAGGGGAAGATGGCTAGGAAATTGGTTAGGTATTAAATTTAAGAAGTATGTTTTTTTTTTTTTTATAAAATAAAACCAAACATTTATTTCTTAAAGCCCAAATTAATACCACATTATTATTTCTTGCAAAAATAAAAACAAAATATAAATAACAAAACGAATATTCTTAAAAAAACAAATAAAATTCTCAGTCAGTCATATTTAGTTAGCCTTCCGCGTTTCAGTGTTCTGCCCTTTTGTGACAAAAGCATCTAATGTTGTTTGCCTTTTTCGTTTGCGTTGTTCTCTTAAAAGTTCTTCATAAACGGATAGAGCATCTCTAACACCACGCCTTACTTTTGAGCTCCTGTCAAAATTCGGATCATTTTCAATGAATTGATCCATTATTTCAGTTATGGTAGACAAACTCCTTTTTACAAATGCCATCGAAAGTTCTTTTTGCTCTTCTGAATCACTGCTGTCAACATTTTTGTTTTCTTCTTGTTCAGTTAATTCCTTGAGCTCATCATTAGAAAGACTAGCTGCTGCTTCTTGAATTACTTCTTCGACATCTTCCACATTTACCCCTTCAAAATATGTCTGTACAATACCGCACCAAACAAGAAATACAAGTACACTCTTTCGGATACGTATTTGAAACCTATCGCTGCATAATATTTCGGGGAATCCCCGTATGCTGCGAGCGATTTCGTGGAATCCCCGGGTTGAAATAAAAGAGCGCTAAACCGAAACAGCGCTAAACCGAAACAGCGCTAAACGAAACAGCGTTAAGCGGGGTCTTACTGTATGCTATTTATTAACAAATAATGTAGAAGAACTTCATGAGAACCATTTATCATTCATTTATAATTTACTATGTGTACATAAATTTATGTGAATAATATCTCAGAAATTAACTGACACACAAATTTTAAATAATAAAATAAATATAAATCACTTTTACTAAACACTTAATATAGCTACAGCATGTGAACCACTTTACTTACTTATTTGTTCTGACATTGAATAAAAAATATTCACATACATCCAGAGTTTGTTACATATATATATATTATGCTGAATTTATTTTTAATAATGAATTTCATTAATAAAATACAAAATATCTTCTTAAATATGTGCATATATATATTTAATAATCTATATTAAAGATTATTTCAAGGCAGTCACATCTTGTGAATTTATAAAATGGTGCTTAAAACAAAAAATTAATCTAGTCGCAAAATTATTTTTAATATTTTATTTAAATTTTACTTATTATCAGTTTCATTTAGATCATCAGTTATTACAAAACGGTTAAAAGCTGTTCTAAGAAAATACGTCTTTATATCTTTATTGTACACTGCACACAAAAAAGGGACAGTTCTAGATCTCCATTCTAAGTGGCCAATTGATGAAATCAAATTGCATTTTTCATGTCTCGAAAGCACAACTTAGGATATATATTAGATTTATATATAGCAGTGTCCTAACATAGGTATTTTGACACAAAATTGCACTTTTTCTGAAATGACATGCCAATATTTTTCTACATTCCGATTCTACGACTCAAATTATGCCTAAAATTTAAATGCTAAATTTTGTAAAATTTTATGCGAAATTTACGAAGAAATTGAAAAACTTAACTTGGTGCATTTTTTTTCAGTTTGTGCCAAGAATAATTCACTTGGTGAACTTCTTAATTTATAGCAACCAATTTCCTTTCCTTTTTTTCATTGCAGACGAGCAGTAAAAAATTCATCAATCATAGTTTCAAATAATTCTAACAAAGTGCATAAACCACATTTGGCGTTACTGTTGATTGTAACAAATATGTCAAATTTAAAAATGTGCCAATATATAAATTCATGTATATCTTAGAAAATTTTGAACAAAAAAACTCTAATCCTTTGCAGGTGTGCCTACAAAAGTATCTACTTTAAGATGATGTTAAAAATTTTATCAGTTATAATTGAAAATTATTTAAAAATACAAATTTTAAAAATAAATCATAAAAATGTTCGAATTTTATTTGGAATGAACATAAATTTCGAAATGTGAAAGGAAGAATCAAATAAGTTTAATAAAAAAAGAGATATTAAAAAATATACACAAAATTCAATTAACATTGAAGAGCTAAAATTTTGAGAGCTAATTTTTAAAAACCACTCGTGCGATTTTTACAAAACTTGGCAGTTTGGCATAATTTGAGTCATAGATTCGAAATATGGAAAACAATTAGAATGTCATTTCAGAAAAAGTCCAATTTTGTGTCAAAATACCTATTTTAGAGCAATTGCTATATATACACCTAATACATATCTTATGTCATGCCTTCAAGACATGAAAAATGCAATTTGAATTTCATCAATCAGACAGTAGAACAGGAGATATAGAACTGTCTTCCTCCTTTTTTTTTTTTTTTTTTTTTTTTTTCGCAGTGTACATATTGAAATCTAACTGAGATGAGTTTAAAAGAATATATCAGATATTAAAATTCAAATTTATATGTTCTTACTTAACAACATGTGCTTATTCTTGTTGGAAAACATAATAAAAAATTGCTATACAGAAAAATAATAACATATATCACTTTTTTAATAAGATCTTCCTCTATTATAAAACATCAGAACTTAACTAAAAACATATTAAGAATGCAATAGAAGTACTAAATATATAAATATCTAGCACAGAAAAATACAAATAAATATTTTTTGAAACTCACTGCTATATTATCATTTTCATATATCTCATTTCTCCCTGACACAGTACTGTTTCTCATGGCTTGAATGTTAGCATCATTTTCTAAAGATAAAAAATGGATTCATTAAAAATATTTGAACTTCATCAAAATAAATATGTGAGACTTTTCTAAAAGAGGCACAACACAGAAACATAGGCAAAGAGGTAGAATGAACATAATAGCTACTTTAAAAAAAAAAAAAAAAAGGAGGAGGAGGAGGAAGAGAAAAGGAAAGATTTAATCAAATCTTTATGTGCCTATAATGCTATATAATCTACATGTTATATAATCTTTATATTTTTATTATAGATTGAGTGCAATACATACATGTTTAAAAAATAACACTATTATTTGGTTTAAAGCACAAATGAAACATGCTTGGAAATGGCTTTTCCTTTGGAATATCAAACTCCATATAGTACCAATAAAAGAATATTAATTTTTCAATACCTCAGCATATGTCCATTTTGAAATATGTCCAACTTGGCATACATCCCATTTGAATACGAAAATTTTTATTTGGTATACGATATTTGTTTGGAACCCAACTCAAGTTTGATGAGTCACAATCATTTGCACTACTCTTGTTTACCTCTTTTGAGAACAATGCTACAACTGCTCATCAGTGTCAGTACATGTCTTTTGACAATTTGCACTACAACTCTGCATTTTCACATGATTTTGTGTTATTTCATGAAAATTTTTTAATTAATTAATCCTTTTTAAAACTACTATCCCTGTTCCTAGATGATTTGAATTCTCGTAATTCTGAATGATTTGTAAAAACGTTGACTATCAATGATGTCAATTTAAAGTTTTAATAAAGTTAATGAAAAGAATCAAGCAACAAAAAAAAAAAAAAAAAAAAAAAAAAAAAAAAAAAAAAAAAAAAGGATATCATTAAGGTGGGAGAAAAAAAAAGGTTGTTGAAAAGTTTTAAGAAAACATGCACATCTGGGACTTGCTGAGAATAAAGGAATCCATGATTGCAAAAAAAAAAAAAAAAAAAAAAAAGTGCTGTTACATGTGCCAACATTGCAAAGGAGGTTAAATCAGTTATGAAACCAACAATCAGAGATATTAGAGCATATCAAGAAATAGCTTTTGATCTGCATTCTGTATGTACAGTACTTCATTGACATATAGTATATATTTCACCAATAGCACTTATACTTTAGTATTAAATAATAGTATTATAATAACAGGATTTTTATAAGAATTATTTTATCTTTATTTTTTACGGGAAAAGTTTGCTTGGTAATACCAAGGTATTACTGGTATACCAAGGTACCACTGAATATTGTAACTGTCAATTATTACATGTCTTAATCGTTAGAAGTTATGGAATAGAAGTTCAATAATGAGTTGAGCCTCTTCTAGCCCTCAAAAGTGTCTCAACACATTGTGACACAGTGTTGTAAGTTGACAAATTGTAATAAGAACAGCTGCTTCTATTATAGCCCAAAATGAATATTTTGGAAATCAACTCTTCCTTGAAACATCAAATACAATATAATACCAAAAATTCTCAACACTTTGTAAGAGGGAGGTCAAAGAGTTAATGAAATTGTCTGACGGGAAAACTGCTCATGAAACATACAGCATATCATATAATTTTGTTACACAGGATGGAGCTGTATCTACTATTCAAGCTAGTTTTCAAGGCATTCCATAAGCAGCTCAAAAAGTGGGCAAGCAGATTACTCCAAAAATAGTCACTGTGAGTACATAAAATGACAAGTGTTACAGAACTTTCCTATTGAACTGTATAAATGTTATTAGTTGACTAGTAAACAAAAACGAGAGACAAAATGTCTGCTTTATAGCTGAGATATTTTCTTCCTCAGATTACGCTATTATTTCAAATTATGTTATTATTATTTTTTCCTCGAATTTTGCAAGAATGATAAAAAATTATACCTTTAAGAAAATGGGTTTGAAATATTTTGATGAAGCATTTAAGACAGATACAAAATTAAATTATTTTTAATCATATTAAGTTGCATGGATTAATGTAAAAAAAAAAAGATGTTAGCTTTAAATATGTTTGTGACGGCACCACCTGTATATCATATAGTTTTAGTGAATTTTAGAAGCAAAACTTAAAAGGAAAGGTCCTAAAATTAAACACAGCATTAAATGATTTAATGCAGAGTGATAGACTACCAACTGTTAGAAAAGTGCTCAATGGAATCCCATTTGAATGGGACTGAGGCGAATGGGTAGAAATGGGACTGAGGCGAAATTCTTTTGGTAGTTGTGTCTATATTAAAATAAAAATATTTTTTCATTTATTTTATAAGAACTAGCTATTGTCACTATTTATTTTGATGACTTACTAAGTTTTAGCGATAACACAGAACTTAAAAACTCGGTAAAACAGTAACTTAAAATTTGAAATGAAAAATTTGGGACCACAAGTTATTGCTTAGGAAAGAGCAATATTGTAATAATAATCAAAATTATTGCTTAAAATTGAACAAGATAGGATTAAAGGGCCCATTAGACTATGTCAGACTCGGTATGTAGAGAGTATCTTTCGTAAATATAATATGCACGAGTCTCATGGTGCAAAAATGCCACTAGACCAAAATCAAGTGTTCTCTAAACTTCAGTTACCAACTAGTAAAGAACAAAAACTACTGGTTCTTTAACTACTGTGAAAATTTTGAAAATATGACGCTAATTTTTGTTGTTTGACTTCTGAATTAGTACTGGTTCTTTATCAGGCTGCCATTCGGAGTCTTCTTTATGCAGCTCAAGCAACAATATGGCCAGATGTAACTTAAGCTGTGAATTTACTTTCTTAGTCAATTCTGTAATAATTCTGAAAAGATTCACTGGAATGCTGTCAAGCTCATCATGTGACATCTTCGAGTTTCTACAAATGCTACATTGGCCTTTTCAAAGGACTATAATGTTGACATCCTTGGTTACAATGACTCAAACTATGGAGGTGATGTTGGAGATTGAAAAGCAACCACTGGATAAGTTTTCCTCATTGGAGGTGGGCAGTATAATGGTGCAGTAAGTGGGAACCAACCATTGCAACTACTACAAAAGAATCCGGACATATGGCTCTTTCTACAGCTACTAAAGAAGCCACATAACTCACCAAAACGGTTACAGAATTTGGACTTACTGCTGCAAAACCAGTTTTATTATACTGCAATAACAACAGTGCTATTAATCTCAATAAAAATAGCATGTATCGTAGTAGATCAAAAATCTATTGATATAGAACACCCTTTTGTGCTAGAAGCTGTGAAACTTAAGTATACTGATATACAAAATATACCCACTAATGATACAATTGCAGATTTTTTGACAAAGACTGTTATGCTGTAAAACATGAAATGTGTACAAGGATGATGCATTTAAAATGAATACTGATGTGACTTAATTTTTTATGTGTGTATACGTTAACATAAATTTTATTGTATTTAAACAGGATGATACTTTATTTAAATCTAAAGTGGAAGTATAAAAAAAGACGTTTGCTTTAAATATGTTTTTAGCCCATAGATGACACCACTAATATATATCTTTATAACTATCTGCAAATTTGTACATATCGAATAAACCTTCACTTCTGCTCCAAACTCCCATCCACATATGTTGTGTTTTTATTTATTCTTATGCATGCTGAAGTAACTGATCTCTGCTATAGTGAGCTTGCCTATAATTATCTTCTGCACAGAAATGCATTCATTCTATTAAAGGAAAATGCTCTCCATACTAAAAAATCATGTTTTAATGTACTAAGAACAACTTGCTAAAAATTGCAAAGAATCCTTTTACTCTAAAAGATAGAAAATAACAATACAGCTAATACACACCATAATTTGGTTCCAAAGTACTAGGTGACTTGTGACCACCAGTGAATTCTTTCATCACAGGAGAAAAGCTCTTTAAATCAAACATCTTACTATGAGCAAAAGATCCAAGCTGTGTATAAAAGAAATGAATGAGATATCTCAAAACACTCTGAAATCATCTCTCATTCATATATATGCTTTACTGGATATACAAGTTACCACTTCATAAATTTTTTTCTTATGCTATATCAGTATTTGGAAATATTTTTAAGTAAAACATTAAATATGTTAATTAAATTAGTCTATTTATGAAATTACCTTAAAATTAATTAATTTTTCCATTTGCAAAATAAATTTTCCCATTCTTTTTTCAGTATTTGTTTTACAATACATCATACTGAATTCCATTACTTCAACTGTATAGAATATTTACTTTTACTTTGTGATCTTTTAATATTTGATAAAAAATTTAAAACTTTTTTTCAATAAGTATCTTTTCTAAAATACTTTCAATGAATCCTTTCTAAAACTAGTACTCATTATTCTAGATGATTTTGGTTTCCATGATTCTAAATGATTTTACAGAACTTGACTATCGACGATGGCAATTACTAATTTGCATACCGGATTTACTCAAATCAAGGCTCTTGGAATGTATTGATGAAAAATTCTGAAACAGATAGGCAGCATATCAGTTTTTGATACTATTTATATTAATAAATTTACAAATTAATAACAAAACTAAGAAGTGACTATTGCAGAGGTTAAGCAAAAATTATTTTGCACTTGGTTTCCAGAAATACTGTAAGTGAATATTATTTTTAAATACCGAAAATAGATCTTCTGCATGAAAGAGGAAAACAGAAGAAAAAACACGTTATAAATGTTTAGTAACCTAAAAACTACATATTGCTTATTAAAAGCATTCATCTATTGAAGTGTGGCAACCTTCAACTGTACGGCAAATTGCCAGTAACATTTTTAATAACATTTAATTCTATTCCTAAATTTAAAGTTTTTAGTTTTTCTTTTAAAGACATTTTAATTTAAGGTTAATCATTTAAGAATAATGAAATTTAAAAGAGAAAAAAGTACAGTGTTCTCATATTATTCAATCTGCCAAAAAAGATGGTGCATATCTCAGCGAGTTTACATAAAACATTCTACTGATATCCACAGAAATTTTTAGATATAAGTGATCTTAAAAGCAAGCATTTTCTTTTATTACATAGTATTTAAGCAGCATTTTACATTAACTGGTCTCTTTTTCTTCTCTTGTTTGCTGAAAAATAATTCAAATTTATACAGCTATGAAACAAGATGCAGCAGAATGATTGCAATGTAATAGGATCATCCCACAGGGAAAAAAAAAAAAAAAAAACTCAACATTAATGGATACAGCATGATATTGTACTGTGTAAGCATTGATAAGAATGGTGATTCAAAGTAAACACTTAACATTTTTTTTTTTTTTAATTCAAAGAATATTCATTTAAAAAGAACATGATTGAAAAACCCAGAATTTCTAGCTCCTTAGATTCATTTACAATTGGTTTGTAGAACCAATTGTAAATGAATCTAAGAAGGCTTCACAAAAAATGAAACTCATTTGCCTTTATTTTAACAGATTTTAAAGATTTTTTAATGATTATCAACAACTGATATAAATTGTCAAGATATGCACTGATTTTCTCAGGTAACAGGATAATAAGAGAGTATCAAAAATACCCAAAGCATATATGCACTGAACTTTTAAAATAAAAGCCACTGATTAATAACATCAAAAAGAAAAAGAACTTGTAAGCAGTACTTGAATATTGTTTTACTACATGATATTAGCCACACAGAGATGAAAATGAAAAAAAAAATAGTATAAATAGTTTAGGAATATGATCAATCATTTAAAGTGTTCTATAACTTCAAGTATATGTAATAAGCAAAAATAAATGGAGAAAGATAAAATTAATAATTCCAAATGAATAAAAGTACTCATTATTAAAAATCCCACAATTTAAATTTTGCTCAGATTATTATTTACTACAGTCAAAAGTCGTTAATTCGGACACCCATAATTCAGAATGATCTATAATCTGGACCTCAAAGCTACAAACTTTCTGCGCATGCGTCACGTTGACGCATGCGCATAGGCGTTTACACGTGCACGTAAGACCTTTACGGCTGTGAATATGCACGTTTAATGTGTAAAGTACGGTATAAGCTAAGCTAAAATTATCCAATTCAGTAATGTTGCAGATTGCATGTTCCTTAATCTTCGAATTGGATCCGGCTTATTATTTTTTGCAGACTGTTAGAGCAATTTTATAAAAGTAAGCTTGAATTTCGATTATGTCAAATAAATTTTCCAATATATATTTACTAATATGTAAAGGTTCTACAAAGCGAAAATATGTTTCAAAATCTGTTTATCAATTTCACGCTGTTCTGCGGTGAGGGGAGGAAACGCCACGGCGCGCAATGAATTGGAAGTTGATCTGTCAGCACTGCCCTTATCTTCAGGGCAGATGTTTTTATTTTATTTGGCTTATAATTCCTTACTAAATGTAGTATTTCATCTCGATTTACTCCATCTTTGATATGATTTAAATCAAGTTCCTTGTCATTATAATTCGCTTCCGATAGTGAAGAAAGTGACAGAGGTTATCGAAAACGAAAAAAAATTTCGATTGACAAATTAGTCGGTATCTCGACACAAGCAATTATAGGACTGAACAGCGGAACTTTGTACTAAACAAGAAATTATGTCTGTTTAATAGAATTAAAGAGAAAGTATTATCACATGAAACGAAGCAACTTAAACAACTTACATTGAAAGAATGTTTAATAAAGTAAACAAATAAATATTAAGCTTTTTTTTTTTTTGTAAATTTTGAACCCTTTAGATCATAATTGTTCTTTATTTCATAAATTATGGTTTCATATTTTTAATTTTGTAATTTCTGCATGCCATCTTACCAGATTTAACTGATGATCTATAATCCGTAAAAATCGATAATCCAGAATCGCCGAAGTCCCGACGAGTCCAGATTAACAACTCTTGACTGTACATGAAAAACAAGAGCAGCTGGATTTGGCTGACAAGATGGTAGTTGATTTGAACAACTATCTGCAGTAATTTTGTATATATAGCATTCTATCTAGAACATTTAAAAGCACTGAAGGCCTAACAAGAAAAGAGAAAATCTACAAAAAGACTTTTCAGAAAATGGAAAAATTAAATATATAAAATTCTTTTAGAGTATTAACTGTTTGAAGGATTATGCATGAAGACCAACAAATATTTCATTGTAAAAATTCCAGAAAGAAGAGCAAATGTTCTTATGGAAGCCATACTGAAAAATATCATAGATAAAGGGATATATTTTTTTTTTATTATTCTTAAAAGACCAAACCTGAAATATTGAGAGTATTAGAATTCAAATATTATAAAGTCAATCACAGTTTTATCTTTGTCAATCTGGTACCAGTACACAAGCCATCAAAGGAATATGTAATTTCAAATGGTGATATAAAAACACAATGGAATCATAACATCATTAAGATCTAACATAATCAAAATATGACGCACTGGCTTCACAAAAAAGGAAACACATTTGCCTCTATTTTAACAGATATCAAAGATTTTTTAATTATTATCAATATAAATTGCCAAGATATGCACCAATTTTCTCAGGTAACAGGATAATAAGAGAGTACCAAAAATATCCAAAGCATATATGCACTGAACTTTTAAAATAAAAGCCACTGATAAATAACATCAAAAAGAAAAAGGACTTGTAAGCAGTACTTAAATATTGTTTAATTACATGATATTAGTCACACAGAGACAAAAATGAAAAAAAAAAAAAAAAAAAGTATAAATAGTTTAGGAATATGATCAATCATTTAAAATGTGCCATAACTTCAAGTATATGTAATAAGCAAAAACAAGTGTAGAAAGATAAAATTAATGATTCCAAATGAATAAAAGTACTCATTATTAAAGATCCAACAATTTAAATTTTGCTCAGATTATTGCCAGGTTTTAAGCATCTAAAAGTTAAGAACTAACTTCTTGCATACAGACTGCAGCTTCTATATTTATGCAATTGCATTTAAATAATAATAATAAGCAGCAAAAGCAATTTTTTCACCCAAGAACTTTTGTCATGCATCTCCTAGACTTATGTGAATATAAGCCAGCTTAAATTAAAAAAGCCTCCATGAAGGTATCCCATTCCTTAGGCAGACAGCTTTTCAGACCCATTCCTTAGCAGACATTTCTCATGTGCTCTGCCATATTCAAAAAGCCTAAACTATGACATTAAACCTATTATCCCTCGTGTTAAAGGACTGCTCCTAAGCAGCAACTCTTCTTGTAATGGATAAACTATTAAGTGACTATGCTTATGACTGCCAGTCGTTTGATAATACTTTGCAACATATATTGGCCCCACTAAAATAAAAACGGCCATAAAAATAAGATTATCAGAATTAATAAGTTTTCCATAAAAATAGTTCTACTATTATAATAAAAATTGGGAACGTAACATCTAAATTTGATAAAACATAAAATATTTCAGTCTGACAATAAACCAAGACATTTTGGTAGTTACCTTAATATAAATTCAATCATTTTATTGAAAGCTTAATATTATAATTATCATTACCAATACTTCTAAATTCATTCTAAAACATCTTCATTCTCTAAAACATTCTTCAGTCTCAGGGATGGTAGCCAAGAAGGGGTTCATGGTAGTTTCACTCTCTACTTTTCTTCTGAACATTACATGCTATTGACCATAAAATCTAAACTCACAGTGGCCATGAACAACTGCTAATTCATTTCATTTTCCCTCCTTCATATCAAAATAAATAATTAATCTTTAGTTAGGAGTATGAAGTTGGCTTTAATAAATGTCTGTGATAACGCAATTTCTTTTTATTTCATTACACGTTGAATCTATGCAATTTAAGAATATTTTTTAATAGGATGAATTATCTTTAATATGAATACACAAAGTATTTTCAAACGAAATATCAGAAAAAATTAATTTAGTTTCAATTAAAATCTTGTTCGAATTACATACATTTTTGACATTCAAAGTATTACAACTCACCTCAAGGTTTGAATTGAAAAACATTCTACAATATGAATACACAAAGTATTTTCAAACGAAATATCAGAAAAAATTAATTTAGTTTCAATTAAAATCTTGTTCGAATTACATACATTTTTGACATTCAAAGTATTACAACTCACCTCAAGGTTGGAATTGAAAAACATTCTACCACCAACAGTGTGCCTTTCTCGTTTCTTAGTTCTTGGTGGAGGAATGGGTATTTTTGAGGGATCACCTGGTAGATCAGTTCGTCTCCGAAGCCTTGGAGATCTAGAGGAGTTCCATATACTGTCAACTGCTTTGCGTAAATGTAATCTTCTCTTTGGGTGCCGATGATACACATCATCGCAAGAAAGACAGAAAATTTGACTACTACATCGATCACATCGAACAGCAGGAGTCGAACAACCACATAAAGCACATGATTTAGCAGCAGAACTTGGGGAATCACCACCTTTGGGAATTGGTCCTAAGGTAGAATAAAATATAGCAGATAAAAAAAATATGTTCTGCAGAATTTAGTTTGATATACAAATTAGTAAAATAGTAACGTAAAAGAGTTAGATATAGATGTAGCTAAAGTAACAATAAAACAATTACCACAGAATTGGGTTGTGACACATTTTGCATGTTTAATGCAAGTACTTTTATAATAATATAAAAATAAATGGCAACTGATTTAAAATACAAAAGAAAATACTTTAGAATCTGGGCATTAGAATTCTGCAGAAATAAAAAAAAAGTTTAGACTTAAAATTGCTGCTTCCCCACCCCCCTTAAACGACTTACTTACTCACTTTTAAGTTTTTTAAGAATTTTCTTCAGAAAAACTTTAACTTCGAGTCTGTAAACATCAGATTACAGTCCAACATCACAGAAAGTTGTCCATTAAAAATTTTAATTAATTAAAAACGTATATAAATGTTTGACTTCTTTCCTTACTTTTAAAAACTTACTATTGCAAACTTATAAAACTAATTTTTTTACTACTAGATAAAAATTCAAAAAAGAATTTTAAAAGTTGCAATATTTGTTTAGATATTTCTTTTCTGAATGTAAAAGGACATAAGGAAAAAAAAATGAAACAAAAGTATATGGGTGCAAGGTGAAATAAGGCTGGCACCTATTGTATTGTAGTGTATCCATATTGGCATATTTGGTACAGCCGGGCCTTGCTAACTGCTAAGCTTCTGCACCATATGGAATTCTGAAAAAAAAAAAAAAAAAAAAAAAAAAAATCTCTCTTTCCCTACTACAAACCTTTTGAGAGGATTTTGGATTTTTTTAGCATACTCTTGCTACATAGAATCCATGCACTTACAAATATCTCCTGCCTTCTCCAAGATTCAAACATGGCCAATTCAGTACAGCAGTCAATATCATTAACTATTATCCCATCTACAAGTGACTGAAGAATTAATGCTAGAAAACTGACTGAAAGAATTAATGCTAGCAAAACTTTGTGACAAAAGAATTCGCAGCAATACATACACAACAAATGAAAATAATAAGATAGATGAAGATATTGTAGCAAACACAATGCAAAAGAAGCTGAGTAAATATAATAAGAATGCAACTAATCAAACATTGAATTAAAAAATACTTTGTTTTAAATGCAGAACAATTCACAAATAATTAAAGTGTCCTGTGCATGCAAAAATTTCTTATTAGTCCAAAAAGGGAAATCCATATTTAGGAGATCCAGGCAAAAGCTATAAAATAAAACATTATGAGTGTATATAAATAGAAGAAACAAATCAAATTACTGTATCGAGTTGTAGAAGAGTTAAAATTTTATTCAGGAATGCTGGAAATTGGTTTAGATAACAAAAAAGAAAGACTATTGATGCTAATCAAATCAAAATAACCTTGATTTACAGCTGAATACCACAACAATGTAAATTTTATTTATAAAAGCAAAGCATTCAAAATGCTAGGTGTCATAATACAGAAGACTGAAATCAAATTACAAGTTATATTCTCTGAGGATAACATAGGTAAAAACAGCAATGAATTGCGAATAAAAAATACCTATGTTGTATTTTTTAAGAAAGTTATGGACAAAATGCACCTTCTACATTAGGAAGAAAATTATATTTGTAAATATGTTTGACTTAAAATAGTATCTATTCATACAGAAAAATACAGAGTGGAAAATACTGGAAAAATACAGAGTGGATTTGAAATATAAGGTTGATTAAAAGAACATAAACTCTAAGTGAAACCAGATGCAAGAATGTAAACTTCACCTTCCAAGAAAAATAAGCTATATGGGATGAAATTAAAGAAGAATTTCAAACAATGAAAAACTTAAATGACATCAAAAAATTAAAAGAAGGAGTAAATTCAATAGTCACTGTTATCAAGACTATAATAAAATTTGAATACATTTAGATACTCGATATCTAAAACAAAGTAATAAAACAAGAACATTATTATATATTAATCACACACACATGAAAAACAACTGATAATACAGTGTCAAAAGGAAAATTATTTCTGTTTTAGATGCCAATAATGAATTTTGGTAAACTCAGGTTGATAAATAACGTAATTAAATGAGTATATTCAAAACTTTTTTGGCAGATACAGATTAAAAAAATTCCCTTTTGGCATACATTCAGCACCAGTTGCGAAAAAATTGAGCCAAAGAGTATAAGAATTAATACAAAAAGAATTTTTTATATATGTTTTAGTTTTGAGGGATATTAAAAAAAGTACAGTCAAAAGTCGTTAATCCGGACTCATCGGGACTTCGGCGATTCCGGATTATCGATTTTTCCGGATTATAGATCATCAGTTTAAATCTTGTAAGATAGCATGCAGAAATTCTAAAATTAAAAATATGAAACCATAATTTATGAAATAAAGAACAATTATAATCTAAAGGGTATCAAAATTTACAATACAAAGTTCCGCTGTTCAAGTCCCGTAATTGCTGTGTCGAGAATAGCGACCAACTTGTCAATTGAAATTTTTTCGTTTTCACTAACCTCTTTGTCACATTCTTCATGTCTTTATCCATTTTTTGCAGCAATTCCACTTTTTGTTTGATGGACATCGAAACATACTTTTGTTTTGTAGATCCTTTGGGAGCTCCGGCATCGGAAATTCTATTTGACATAATCGAAAGTTCAAGTTTACTTTTATAAAATTGCTCTTACAGTCTGCAAAAAGTAATAAGCCACATCCAGTTTGAAGATTAAGGAACAATGCAATCATCAACATTAACTGAAATAGATAATTAGATAATTTTAGCTTATACCGTCCTTTATACATTAAACACGCTCGCAAAAATGTATTCTGCACTTGCACACACGCATATGCGCAGTCATAAAGGTCTTAACGCGCACGTGTAAACGCCTATGCGCATGTGTCAACGCGGTGCATGCGCAGAAAGTTTTTAGCTTTGAAGTCCGGATTATGGGTGTCCGAATTAACGACTTTTGACTGTACTTGACCTATGACTTAAAAGAGTATTGCAAAGAGCATATGAAACTAAACTAAAATTTGATAAGAATAAATGTAAAATGAAAGCAGACTATGTCAATTATATAAAACATGATTTAAGCCTTTAAAGGGCACCAGCAAATAAAATAAAATATACCGGATGTTTGTCAATTTTTTAACTTCCTAAAAAATACTATTTTTTTCACACACGAAAAGCATAATTGTAAGTTTCTAGTATTTCCTTTTGATTCTAAATGGCAGCACTACCCTATGAATACTCAATATCTCACAGTTATGAAATTAATATACTCATTGCAAGGTACCATATTTGAAGATTCATAAATTCTATTGGAGGGGAAGAAAAAATTCAAAATCTGCAAATATATGACACACACATGCTGAATCTTATATATTTACTTCATTTCAGTGAGAAGTGATTATTAACAGAAGATTATTTATATGATTTTAAAACCGGAATTATAATATATACAGGCAGCCATACTGAGGGTACCATGCCAATAGATGGCAGCACCAGTCTTCTCCTTTCCTACTCTGTGAGATGATGGAATTTCTTTATGTATTATAATACAGTCAAAAGTCTTTAATCTGGACTCGTCGAGACTTCGTCGATTCCGGAATATCCATTTTTCCGGATTATAGATCATCAGTTTAAATCTGGTAAGATGGCATGCAGAAATATAAAATTAAAAATATGAAACCGTAATTTATGAAATAAAGAGCAATTATGATCTAAAGGGTATCAAAATTTACAAAAAATAAGCTTAATATTTATTTGTTTACTTTATTAAACATTTCTTTCAACGCGCACATGCGTAAAGCATACATTACGCATAGTCAAAATTAGAAAATTCCAACGAGAAAACTATTTGATTTGTATTCGTGATATTTATAAGGATGAGGAATTTGATTTAAATCATATCCAAGATGGAGTACATCGAGATGAAATACTACATTTAGTAAAGAGTTATGAGCCAAATAAAATAAAAACATCTGCCCTGAAGATAAGGATAGTGCTGACAGATCAACTTCCAGTTCATTGTGCGCCGCGATGTCCCCCCCCCCACGTGCAGAGCAGCGTGAAATTGATAAACGGATTTCGGAATGGTTAGAGAAACAAAGGAGCCTTTATCCATTTTTTGCAGCAATTCCACTTTTTGTTTGATAGACATCGACACATGCTTTCCCTTTGTAGATCCTTTTGCAGCTCCAGCATCGGAAATTCTATTTGACATAATCGAAAGTTAAAACTTGCTTTTATAAAATTGCTCTAACAGTCTGCAAAAAATAATAAGCCGGATCCAATTCGATGATTAAGGAACAACGAAATTTGCAACATTAACTGAAATAGATAATTAGATAATTTTAGCTTAGCATCCGTTATACATTAAACGTGCATGTGTAAACATATTATGTGCATGCATAAAGGTATTACGTGCATGCGCAGAAAGTTTGTACCTTTGAGGTCCAGATTATAGATCATTCTGGATTACGGGTGTCCGGATTAACGACTTTTGACTGTACTAGTTTATGATGTAATATTTTTTTATGATTAATTTACAAGTTGTTTAGGATTCAATATTATATTCATGAGGGGTTTTCTGAGCCTATGCTAGGGCTGAATACAAGTATATGAGTTTCTTCTTATTCTTTGTTTACTCCACTCGAGTTTCTCATTCATCTCTGTTTAGCTAAAATTTTAATTTCAACACTTTACCCTTTCCGAGGAGAAAGACTCACTGGTTTCAAAATTGTCATCTGGCGTTAAAACATTACACAATTATGTAGGGGCTTTGGGTTTTCCAAAATCCTAGAATGCAGCGAAAATTAAAAGAAGTGATTGACAGCTAATTTATCATTCGTGGTCACGTCTTCTTCCCTTTGCATGATCTTACCACACAAAGGGAAAGCTCACTTAAAAATACGGGAAACCGAAAAGCACTTTAGGTCCATCTCTTAGTGCAATGGAAAAACTACTGATTTGAAAGCATGCTTGTATTC